CTCGTAGCGTTAACTCACACATGGACTTTAGACTTCCTTGAGTACGGGATTTAACAGAGAGAGGTGTGTTTAGTGAGCAGTGCTGGGGAGAAACAGCAAGCTGGGTGTAGATTCAGTAAATGTATTCTTGACCATAAGTGCAAATGGACATATTTTGGAAGAATCAAGCCCTTTCCCTCAGGTCACCAGGAATTCGGAACTTATGTGAGATAACCACTGGAACATCTATTGGTTCACTCCACTGGTGCTCCAACCGTTGGCTACCTAAGCACCGGTTTGAAGACAGATGGAAAGAGGTAGGCCTGGGCATCCATAGGATAGAGGAGCCCAAAGGAGGCCGTCATTCAGTACTTCACTGGGACCATGACTTCACTGGGGTGGAGTCACCTTCTCCGCATGCACATCTACCTCTTCTCATCCTTGCAATTCCTGGCTATCTCTTCCTGAAAATCCCCATAAAGGATTTGCCCGGTGTTCTCGAGGCCTTCCTGAGCTTCTTTAGTATTTAATGATCACCAGATATGTTTGGCAATCCACCTGGCATGCCGTCATTCCTCTCGGTGCATAGCAAGCCCACCTGCTTCTCGCTCAGCTCCCCCCGGAACACGGCTGATTGTCCTAGCTGAGTTTGTACATATGTCTTCTCATTGCTTTTATCCAACCTGTAGTTTGATACCATGAGTCACAGCAATGCCGACAAAATATTGATATTAAAAAGAAGGTCTTTTCTTTGTGATTCTAGACAAGTAACCGAACCTGTCAGGCACTGAGGCAGCCCTCTGAACCAGGAAGTTACGGGCCAAGTAGTCCCCGACATTGGTGAAACCAGACATGGGAGCCAGGTGGCCAAACAGATAAAGAAACAACAACAGAAAATATATATATGTATACATATATGTGTATACTCACACACGTGTACACCCTCACGTACAGATGTTTACACGCCTGCACATATCCATTCCTATCTTTGATTGAGGTATGGGCTGTCTGGCGGCAGACAGCCTGGGATTACTGAAAAGGCCCTCCTAGACCTCTTTTGTTTCCAGAGTGTGAATTCTCACCGAGGTCTCGACTCTAAATCCGTCCTTTCTTCGTGTCCCGAAGTCAATGTCAGTACTTTTGTCCATTTCACGTTTTTAAGGAAGCCACAGCTCCCTCAGGTTGGTTCAGGACCTTGATCTTACGTGTTGTTCTTTATTTTCATTTTTATCTTTTCTTCAGTTCGATTTTGGTCTTCACATTTGTCCTAAGTAGTTGTTGATCTGACTACTCGAGCTGATTGCAGAAGGACTCCCGTGACAGTAACCAGGCATTCCCTGTAGAAATAGACCACTGGACTTCTAGTCAGGAAGATCTGGCTTCAGACCCTAGCTGTGTGGTCCTGGGCCAGTCACTAGCCTTCTTTGGCCTCCACTTCCTCATCTGTGAAACAGAAGGTTTGCACTCGATGGACTCTGAGGGTCCTCAGTTCTAAACCTATAATCATGTTTCCTATGATGCCGTTGTGTGTGTGTGTGAATCCTGTTTGGTGCTTGCTTACTCTCCCCCACCTTTTAATGTGCCCCTTGAAATAAGTATTCATCATGTAACTTTCTGATTAGTCCACAAGCCTTTGGCCTTTCCTGCCTCTTAATTCCAATTTTTTTCATTGTTTTTCCATTTCACCCATTTTTCCATTGTCTTCTGCCTTTACATTGAAGTCACTGATTCAAAGATTCTTGTGAAATTCTTCAGAAACAATTCTCTCTGCCTTTGCCCTCTGTAACAGATAAGTTCTTGTTCATACTTACGCCTGCCAGATGACTGGGGGTCCCAGAGAGCAGCCTGTCTCATTGTCTTCGGCGGGTGACCATGCTGCATTCCAGCTTCTTCATTTGCCTCGCCAAGGAGAATCCGTGAGCCACACTCCATTTCCCTGAAGGGGCACCGTTTTTCCTGGTTCCATTTATGGTGTTCATGCAGATGTGGTGAAGTTCATCCAGTAGAGTTACCATGCTAGTCATGGACAGAAATCTCAAATGTAGAAAATCAGGAATTTAGATGAGAGTCTAGTCCGTCTACAGACTCAGTGTTTGTGGCTAGTGGCTTCGTGGTGAAATGCTGAGAGCAGGGCTTGGGGTCCTAGGCCTTGGTTCAGACCCACCTCCCAAACTTGGTTAGGTGGGGTCTTGGCGAGGCACTTACTTTCCTGCTGATATCTATTGACTCATCATCTCTCATTGCCTCCTCACCTGTAAAACGCAGGTGGTGATCCTGGCCATACGCACCAGAGCTGTATGGACAAAGGCTTCTCGAAAACTCGATAGCTCTCCGTAGCTTCACTCCATCTGTGCTCCTGTAACCACATCCCTGGCTGGCCTTCCAAGGGGCAGATTACAGCCCAGTTGTACTTTCTTCTCTTCTCTCATCTCTACCCCAGCTCAGCGCGGTACCAGAGGTCTATCCAGGGTGCTGGGACCGTCCACTAGATGACTTCACATTTCTGGGTCCCAGTAGAGTGCAAGGGCCAGCTGTTGGTTAGCCCGTACTGTGTGTGCGACTGGCCTCCCTCTGTCCCCTTCATCCGTTTCTCTGATTCTTCCTTTGTGGTGCTTCTCCTGCGTGGCCTTCACTGGTGATGGTTATCCCCTGCTCATGACTCCCACCCACTCTGCCTTGTCCTTTGGAGGACTTACCATTTTAATTTTTCAGAGGCTAGTGGTCTGTGACTTACAACCATCCAGAGCTGCAGAAGTGAGATGTACAATTATTGTCTCTTCACTGGCAGAAGGAGTTCCTTGGAGTTCAGAAGCCATTTTGTGTTTTTATGTTTAATAGGTCACAGTAGCCAAAAAAAGTCTTGCTTTAGCCTAACTAACCTGGCTCACCTCAGGTGGCTGATTTTTTGGCCTTAGTAATCCTCTAAGACCATTTGCTAAGTCGTAGGGTGTTAGCCATCTGCGTGTGTACAAGTGCAGACATGAGCTCCCAGACTCCCCAAGTGTTTCCTCCCGTGGAACTTCACCTGCCTAGAATCGCCGTAACATGAAGCTTTGTGTTGTGTGCTGGCCAGAAGGGGACCCACCTAGCACACCCCCCGACTCCCCATGGTCGCTTCCTTCAGCCCTTCCCTGGAGACCAGTCCAGCTCAGCCCTCATGCCTACTGGGAATCTCTGTTCTTCACTTGGCTTATTAAATGACCCAGAGAAATAGCAAACAATTTGCTTAAAAGAGCCATACTCTTAGCAGGAGCAGCCAAATTCACAAACAGAGGCATGAAGCTAATTGCTTTACCTGACCCCTTTGGAACCCAAAGAAGAGAGAAGAGAAGAACGAAGCTTGAGATTTCTTTAAACTTGGAAGCTGACTCCTGCAAGTTCCCGAGCCTGCCCGCTCCTTCAGGCTCTTGGAGAGGTGGGGTCAGGGCAGTAGGCTCCTGAACCCCGCTTCTGCCTCTAACCAGTCACCATCCTCCCCTTATTCACATTAGTGCTCAGAACTCTGCCGTCACCCTCGTCCTCTAGGGAGATGGATTGCACTCTTTCTAGCTGTGGACAGGAGATTTTTCAATTTTCCTTTGAGAAACAATGCTCGGATTCGTCTGAGAGTTGTCATCTCTAGCAAAATCTCCAGCTAGCGGTTTGGAGATTTTCTGGGAACAAACACTTTACTCACTAAGGCGGTTGCTTCTCCCAATCCTTCCCTCATTTCCCTTTCAACTGAGAACCCCCCCAGGGCCCCTCGTGACGAGTGTGTCGGGCCCTGGCACTTCTGGTCTGCTGGGTATCATTGACTGGGCCTGCCCAGCCCAGCTCTCAGGGCGCCGGATCCATTGCCGTAGGGGATAACAGAACAGAAAACATTCAGACGTGGTTTCAGGCCTCTGGAAATTGTTTAATCTTTCATCAATCTGAATTTTGGCTGCACAGAGTATGCCTTCTACCACTGACACTGCTGCTGGGAAACTACCTCCTTTCCTACAGCTAACTGCCCCTCCCCCCCAAAGCCAGGTCCTCGCAGAACCAATGTCTACAAGCTAGGAGCTGGAGAGAGCCGACCCTGGAGCCAGGAGGACCTGAGTTCAGGCTTGGTCTCTGACACACGCTGGCTTTGTCGGGGAGCTCCGCGAGTCCCCTAACGTCTCAGCGCCCTGACGACTCGCCTCAGAGCCCTGGCCGAGCGGCTTGGTCAAGGGCGGTGGGCGTTCTCTGGGAGCTCCCGACACTGAGGAGACTATGAGGGCAGAGTTGGGGAGATGCCAGAGGGAGCTTAGACTGGTGATATCGTTTGCTTCTTCCACCCTGCCTCATGTCCTGGACGTGCATCAGCGCCGGGCACGTTGTCGGTAAATGCTTCTTGCCTCGACTGACTTGAGTCTTGCACTCCATGGCATGAGGGCCAAAGTCTAGGAGACAGAAATTGAGCAAGGTTACGTTGAGATTCCTAAAGCTTGATCTTTTCCTGTATTAGTCTGGCCCCCAAAGGTTAAGGCGTAACATGTTTTGTATATTTTTATTTCCTTTTGGGAATTAAACAAAAATTAATTGAAGCCAGAGGAAGACCTTGTAGAAAAGGGACAGGTTGTGAATAAAATAGAGTGGCCTGATCTTCGGGGTAAACTGATAAAGTCAGTCTTGCTCTCTCTTCTGTGCCCTCAAAGCACAAGGATCCATGACTCACACCAACCCAGGCCCCTTTAGGAATAGCCTGCGGAAAGCAGTGAAAGAATATTAATAACTTATTCATATCTGTTTCATTTCGAAAGGGTTGCTTCCATTCAACAGAACAGATTTGTGGTGAGCAAAGGGACCTTTTTGTCTGTGCGGTGCTTGTAAAAACTTAATTACAGTGGAGAAGCCGGTTGTGATGAAATTGTTTTCATAAGCTATTTAATGGAAATTGCAAAGGCCTTGGAATTATTCAGTGTTCTCCACATTTTAATGAAAGCGTGCATTGTCCCCCACTCAGTGATCTTCGGTGGGAGGGAAAATGAGCTGACTGATCCATTTGTATTTTTTAGGTGCAAGTATTTGGACTGTATTCCGGGGAGGAATTTCATGAAACTTTTGACTGTCCTATTAAAGTAAGTATGTGGTTCCTCTTCCCCGTAGAGCCCCACGCTGAAGCAGAAGGAAGTTTGTCCTCCCTCTGACCTTTCTTTCATTTATCGGCTCTTTTGGGTGCCAGGAAATGTCAAAGCTATAAGAGATACAAAGCTGGACAAGATTCAGGCCTAGTCTGATGGGGAAAAGGACAGTCATAACACACCAAAACAGGAAAGAGATTTTATCTAAAGGCCATGAAGGACAGAAGCAGACTGCGCCAGGGATCTGACTAGAGTGACGAGAAGAGAGGGCGTCATGGAGGTTGCCTAGCAGTGTATTGAGCTGTACTGGGCCATACTGGGCTAAATGCTGGGGATACGGATACGGAGCAAGGCAAAAGCACTGCCCTGCCCTCAAGGAGCCTGCGCTTTAATGGAGGAGAAAAGGAGCACAAATGTAGGTACAGCCTAAAGGGGAGGTGATCTCACGGAATGGCGCTCGCCCTGGGGGAGCACCAGCAAAGAGCGCCTGGGTGGGTGTGAGTAGAGTCTTAAAGGAAACCAGAGAAGCCAGGAAGCACAGCCAGGGCAAAGACGTGGTGGTGGGAGATGAAGCAGCTAGAAGGCCAGCGCTGCCAGATCATCAGGTATGCGGAGGGGCAGGTTGTGAAAGGCTTTCTGTGCCAAACAGAGCATTTATATGTGGTCCTGGAGGGACTGTGAGCCATTGAAGAATGTTGAGTGGGGGCTGGCATGTCGGATCAATGCTCTCCAGAGTCCCTTTGACGGCTGAGTGTAGGATGGCCTGGAGTAGAGAGACCCGAGGCAGGGAGATGGCCACTGTGGTCATGTTGGCGTGCGGTGATGGGGGCCTGCACGGGCAGGATGGAGAGAATAAGGGCACTCAGCTTTTGGGAAAGTCATCAACTGCTCTAGACCCCACACTCCTCATAAGTGAAATGGGGGCTTGGGACCAGATGATATCTAAAGCCCCTCCTTCCTCAGGAGAGAGGGTTTGGGCTGGCCTGGGTGAGTGGGGCAGGCAGGGTGTGGTTCATACTGAGAGGAGGCTAAATGCATGAGAAGGAGATTAGAATGAGCCAGGTTGTGGAGGGCCTTGAATGCCAGGGTCAGGCAGTAATGGAGAACCAGTAGAGGCTCTTGGGCATAGGACTGGCATAGAACCTTACTTCAGGAAGATGTGGCAGGGGGCAGGCTATGTGTAGGATGACTGATAGGGGAGAAACTGGAGTGGAAACATGCTGAATTTGAAGTCAGGTGACGTGGGTTCATCACTACCCACGTGACCTTGGGTAAGTCACTTTACCCTCATGCCTCAGTTTCCTCATCTGTAAAGTGAAGTAATGATGTGGTTGGGGTCGATGGTCTCTGAGGTCCCTGACTAAGCGGGTCCTGGGAGCCTGTTACAGTGGGTCAAGTGAGAAGTAATACGGGCCTAAATTGGTGGTTGTTGAATCATTTCAGTCACGTCTGACTCTTTGGGTTTTCCCTTTTTCTTTAAAAAAAATTTATTTATTTAGTTTAGTTTTCAACCTTCGCTTTAATGAGGTTTTGAGTTCTAAATTTCCCGCACCCCTCTCCCCTCCCCAGGACAGCATGCAGTCTGATATAGGCTTTAACATGTACAGTCATGTTAAACATATTTCCACATTAGTCATGTTGTGAAAGAAAAACCAGAACAAAAGGGGAAAACCATGAGAAAGAAAAACAAAAAAAAAGAGAAGATGGAATACTTCAATCTGCATTCGCACTCCATGTCTGACTCTTCATGACCCCATTTGGGGTTCCCTTGACAGAGATACTGGAGTGCTTTACCTTTTCCTTCTCCAGCTCATTTGACAGATGAGGAAACTGAGGCAAACAGGGTTAAGTGACTTGCCCTGGGTCACACATCTAGTAAGTGTCTGAGATCAGATTTGGACTCAGGAAGATATCTTCCTGACTCCAGGCCCAGTGCTGTATGCACTGTGCCACGGAGCTGCCCTTCCCTAGATTGGCAGGAAGGCGAAAATAGGAAGGGGACATTGGGAAGGAATTTCTCCAGCACTTCAAGGTTTACAAAGTGCTTTTCTCCCAGCAGCCATGGCTGAGAAGAGCAGAGGCTCAGTCAGAGAAGGCCGCCCAGCTAGGGAGTGCCTGAGATGGAATTGGGTGTTGAACCAGGTCTGATGCTGAGACCTGACACCCTGGAGCAGCTCGGCACCCAGAGAGGATGAGGAAGCTGGCCAAAGGTGTTGGTTTAGGGGAGGGGGGTGGCCATGAGGGTTGGCTCCCATTCAGGGCCAGCGGGAGGTTCCTGGCCGGTTTTTAATGGGACTGCTCATTGGAGTCAGGGCTGTCAGGGAAGACACTGAGATTTACAATCAATTATTAGAGGTATTTTTATGAGAATTGATACATACTCAGGAGGACATGAGGAAGTTCATCTTCCTTAGTTGCAGGTGTTTTGAACATGATCACATTGTCTGCAGAAGAACTGTTGTTTCTAAAGCGCTTTCATTTTTTGTCTCATGGGAGCCTCACAACATGTGTGTGAGACAGGCCATCTAGGTATTAGTATCCCCATTTTACCAATGAGGAAACTGAGGCTCAGAGAGGGTGAAGGGGGTTGTGTGCCCATGGGCCCACAGACCTGATGGGTGTCAGAGACGGGATTAAACTCCAAGCAGGCATCCTGCTTTGCCAGCCTCGAGCTGGATGTGGAGGCATCCTGGCAGCTGAGGAGCATTCCCGGAAGGAAGACACAGTCTCTGCCAGCCTCGATAATGGCATGAAAACACATTTCTCTTTCAAAGAAAGTTTGGAAGGCAGTAGGTGCTCCCACAATGCGTCACGGGGTGGTGACGTCCCACTGATGTTCCGGGTGTTGGGCATGGGCTGGGCCACGGGGCATGATTAGGAACACCAAGGAGGGCCCATGGTCAGGGGACAGTGCTCATGCTGGAAGAAGCTGAGGCCTGTGAGCCTGATTCCACACTCGTGGCTGGCTGACCCTGAGAAAGTCATCTCTTTGAGCCTCAGTTTTCTAAGCAGTTAAATGGGAATATGGGCACCTCTGCTGTCCCCTTCATAGGGTCGGCAGACGTAAGAAGATGTGAAGGCGTGCCAGAAAGTGAGGATCAGGAGTGGCTTGTTACCCAAGGAGAGCTGGACTCTGTGGGGAGATCATCATGCCCTCCATCTTCACTGGCTCTTTTACAGTTTTATGCCCTTGAAAACCCAGCACCCATCCTGCTGGTGTCTCCTGGCACGCGTGCTCCTACAAGCAGTCTGGGAGATGTCCTCAGCCACCACGGGAGCCTCAAGCACCCCTGGGCAGGGCGCGCCGCTTGAGCGTGTGGCCTCATGGCCCCACGGGAAGGTACCGCTGCTCCTGCCCAGGACGGCATCAGGTCTTCTTTCACATCCCTCTGCTTCTCTTTCTTTGCAGATTATTGCGATTCACCCCCAGTTTTTGAGGTCCCATTGCAAGCAGTTTGTAACTGGAGGAAAGAAGGTGAGTGGCAAGTGATGCTTTTTTAGCCTAAAATGGAGTGTTTGGGGTTTCTCATTATCTCATCATGACATTTTTAGGTTTTTGTTTGAGTCTATTTTTTGATAAAGCCGTCCTATATTTTGAAAAGGTTAAGATATTGTTAATTAATTTCACACAATGTATTTCAGAAGTCATAATAAAGGGAAAAGAAATGACTCTTTGGGTGGGGAAGGAAGATTAGTCTCAATGCTTTCCAGGGTTGTTTGCTTGGAGCAGGTGGGGAGAAAACAGGTGTGACAGACAGTGGCGTGTGCCCTTCATGAAGTGACGTGGCGGTCAGGCTGCAGCCTGCCTCCCTGGGTGGTCAGACTTCTGGGGGCCCAGCTCTCCAGACTTTCCCAGGCAGGGCCTTGGGGGCACACTCACAGTGTTCCCTCCTGAAAGGGTGACCCTCCTAGAGGGGCCTTCTCTCCTAGGGGCCTCACCTGCCTGTCATTTCGGCAGCATCTGCATCAGACGTGAGCAGATGTCATGCGAGAAGGTACAGCCTGTAGACAGCTATAGCCATCATGCCTTCGGGAAAGTTTTAGGAAAATTTTCAGTGTTCCTCACACTGCAGAGTCATCTCTCATACCTCTATGATGTGCCTTTGCAGAATTACCAAGAGAAGAAGACCGGTCAGGCATGGGTTTTGTCTAAGATTTGTGTTGTCTTGTAATTACATGCATTTTTATGCATCAATCACAATCTGTGCATTTAAGTGGTAGGCCTCAACACGAGCCTAACTTTGAAAATTTCATAGGCCACATTTATAGAGTGCTTTCAGGTTTCTTGAGCTGTATTACACACTGTAATAATATCTCTGTTTTATAGATGAGGGAACTGAGGCTCTGAGTTACTTGACTGTGACCACATAGCTCGGAGGTGTCTGAGGATTTGAGGCCGGGTCTCCTCTCCTCAGGCCTCTCACACTGTGTGCGCTCCCCTGGCTCCTCTTGGGTTTGGCCGATGGGGCATAAGCCCCGCGACCAGGGTGGGCAAGGCTTTCAGTTAGAGCCCAGAGAAGACACGTCCTACAGAGACCATTTCTGCCTAAGGAGGCTCTCTGTCTATGTTGGGCGGCCTCCTCAGATCCCCATCACAGGAGCACACAGACTGGTGTCAGACCTCAGATTGGAGGCAGCTACAATCCGTCTCGCTGGGAGGCAGGAAGGCCAGTGATTAGGTCCCTGGATTTGGGAGAGACGGGACATCTGCCGCCTCAGGATGCCCAGTGAAGGTCACAAGGGTTTTTTAAATGAACTTGTTCTCGGAGCACGTGGGATCATGTGTATGCCCTCTGTTGACGCTGGTTTAAAGTGTCAGAGTTGAGGGGGAAATAAGGCAGGCTGCTCCCTTTGAGGCAGAGGAGCACGAGGGGCGTTACTGTCTGAGTAACTGGAAAGGTTTCCTTCTGTGCTTTAACTTTTGCTTTCCTAAGTGGCGGGCTGGGTCACCTGCATCCCATGGCGTTGGGAGGGGGTGGAGGCTAGAGAAGGTGATGAGCCCCGGCCGTCTGTGCCTCTTCCTCCCTCGGCATCTTCTCTTAGCTGCCAGGACGCTGGCCTGCCGCCGTACTCACTTGGGATTGAGAAGGGAGAACTGGGGCCCGTCTGACGGAAACTTCTATTGGAGATTTTCAGGGGAGCTTCTTAGCACTTGCGTGCCGAGGATCGATTGGCAGGCGCACAAAGAGCTGATTCTAAATTCTATTTTGTTGCCAAGTTTGAGGCCACGGCCTCGAACGGGTTCCCGTGATCCATGGGAGAGCTCGTGGCCTCAGCAGGCAGGGGAGGGGGCCGGCGGCCCAGCCGGTTTGGAGCAGCCACCACCAATTGCGGTGCGTTTTGGTGACTCGCAGGTGTCCTCAGTCAGCAGATTCACTTGTGCTTTCAGTCCCCTTTACCTTTGAACTCTCTTCACGCTAGCGGGGACGACAACTTTGACAAATTATTAAATTGTCAGGATGCTGTTTGCGGCAGAGTCAGCTCTTTGGCGTGGCGGTGGGGGCGAGGCAAGCAGGACAGACTGCCTCATGAGCTGCAAAGCGCCAGCCGGCCCAAGCCCATCGAGCACACGTACAGTGTAGCGCTGGGCCCCGCGGGACCTGAGCTTACTGGTGTACTGTTCACTAGCCCACACTTCATTTCTGACCAGAACCTGGAAGCATTTTAAGTTTCATAAGGAAGACATTCCTTTAAAAAAAAATGTAGTGGTGTCAAATGTGTTGTACTTCAGTAGCCCCATGACAGGGGCAGCTGGGTGGTGTGCGGTGGGTAGTGTTGGAAGACTCGTCTTCCCAAGTTCAAATGCAGCCTCAGACACTTGCTAGCTGTGTGACCCCAGGCAAGTCACTTCACCCAGTTTGCCTCAGTTTCCTCCTCTGCAAAATGAGCTGGAGAAGGAGATGGGAAACTGCTCCAGCATCTCTGCCAAGAAAACCCCAGATGGGACCGCAGAGTCGGACATGACTGAGAGAACGACCGAACAGCAGCACTTTGTGTCTGTTTTGCTTATCCCCTGCGCTCTGTGTTTGTGTATAAAATGTTGTAGACATTCGAGGCCGTGGGTTTCACTCCTAGGTGCGTGTGTTGTCTGGCAGGACGCATGTACAAAGGCCTTTTTCTCCTTCCCCCGCATCTTCAGTTTCCTTCGTTGACGAAAGGGAGGCCTTGAGCAGAGAGAGCAGAGCTGCTCCATGATCTCTGTGGACCTGCGCATAGCCAGCTCTCTCTCACGCTCGTTTCTGCCTGAAGTCGGTTGCCTTCCTGAAGGTAACAAGTGAGCCGTCTGGACGTCTGACCGCAGAGGAGCCCGTCAGATTGGGGGTGTCGCCCATAGCGCTCCTGCCTTGCGTTTACTGCGCCAGTGCGCTGCCTCCATGGTCTGGGAAGTCGGCGCTCTTCCTTTCCCCTTGGCAGTGATGTGGCTTTCGTCCCATGGTATCAGCAGAGGCCCTGGAGCCGGGCTTCTCCTGGCTCCCATGCCAGCCCTGGCATGCTTCGTTTCCTAGAATATTTTTACTTTTCTGAAGCGCTGAATAATCTTTTTGCTTCTTTTATCCTCATCGAAGCTGTAAGAGATGGATTTTGTTTAGTCATTCAGTCAGTCATGTCGGAAGCTTCGTGACCCCATGGACCATATCACCAGTACTGTCCCTGGGGTTTTCTTGGCAGATTTACTGGGGTGCTTTGCCTTTTCCTTCTCAAACTCATTTTACAGATGAAGAAACTAAGGCAGACAGGGTGAAGTGACTTGCCCAGGGTCACACAGCTAGTATCTGAGGCCAGATTTGATCTCAGGTCTTCCTGACTCCAGGCCCAGCACTCTATCCACTGGGCCATCTAGCTGCCTCAGGAGATAAATAGAAATTCCTTCTTTCCATCTTATAGAGAAGAAAACAGACGCCCAGAGTGGTCATTAGTGGCAGGATCCGGGTATCTTGACTTTTCGTCATGTTCTCATTAACCAAAATCTAGATACTCTTATTAACCATAGATTTGGAGTCAGAAGAAACCTTGAAGGACATTTTGCTTCATTCCCTTGTTTAACCGGTGAGGAAACTGAGGTGAAACGACTGAGACAATAGACCCTAGTTCCAGGGAGCGAAGGGTCTTCGGAGGCCATCTGTCTAGCCCACCCCTTTATTTTGCAGTTGGGGAAACTGAGGCATAGGGAGAGTAAGTTACTTGCCCCGGATCACAGAACTGAGACTTGAACTCCGGCTCTATACCCAGCGCTCCCCACCATAATGTATTTCTCATTGCTCCAGGAGCGGTTAACTCTGAGCATTGGCTTCAATTCTAGTGCTGTCCTTGCTCTAGGTTTTGATCGTACCAAATCTTAGCTGCAGTGAGCCATCAGGGGACTTTGGAAATATGTTTGTTTGTCATTCAGATTAAAAAAAGAAAGCACAGAGTATTTGACTTATAGTTAAGACTGAAACTGGGTAAATACCCTTGATGGAAAAACAATCTTGGATTGAGAGGAGGGCCCAGAAAAATTCCTTTCTGTCCAAAATGTAATGTGCCGGCGTGGCTCGGAGACACAGGCCCCTTGCAGCCTGGGCCCCAGCAACGGGGCCAAAGCAGGCAACGAGACAGTGGTGCTTAGCCAGGGGCTGCTTCTGCGTCGCTGGACTCTGAAGCGTCTCCCCCGCCCCCCGGGAGCCCTGTCACCCCAGGAGCTTCCTTCTTGCTTCCCCCCTCCTCCGTCAGACTCAGCATTTCTCCAACGAGAGCCCTCTTTGTCCTTATTCCTTCTCTTACAGGCTTTTCTGGAGTTGAGTTTTTCTTCCCGTGGCAATTCCCCTCCTTCCTTGCATGCCTTCTTTTGGTCATTTGGACAGCCGCTCGAGCCTCGTTTCTTTCTTGTGCTTTTCATTTTCATTCTGTTTCGTGTCCTTTCTTTAAGCTGGGGCTGGCCGCCACATCTGGCCTCTCCTCGGCCCGGCTTTACTCTTGATCCTCTTCACCCCCATCTTTGCCCACCTGCTCCTTCCTATGCCCCTCACTGCCAGCTGGTCCTTTTCTCTGAGCTGGCACAGCTGCTTTTCACCCCCTTGCCTGGCTTGGGGCAGCTCAGATGCATCCGTGTTCAAATCTTGATCAAAGAGCAGCCCATTGTGGCCGTGCTCCCCCATTTCCCTTCTTCAGGAGGAGTGGGGTGGGGTGTGTGTGTGGTGGAGTGTATGGGTGTGCAGGTGTGGGTGGGGGCGTGTGGGGGCCTATGTGTGGGGATGGGTGGGGTAGAGTGGGTGTGCAGGTATAGGGAGACTGTGGGGGTATGTGTATGGGGATGGGTGGGGGAGTGTGGGTGTGTGTGGAAGGGGCCGCCCCAGTTTTTTACAGCCCAGTACTAATCCTGCGGGGAGCACTGGGATGCGGGGCTGGGCATTTTAAGTGCCGCCCCATTGTGACCAAGCATTAGCTAGATTTACCGTCACACACGGCTTCTGAAGGGAGGGTGGGAGCCGGTGCCTC